CGGTACAGCAGAGGCGGGGGGTGGGGGCTGGGCTCACCCTTTGGTCCCCGAGAGACCCAGAGGGGTCTCGCCGGGCCGCTCCCGGGGCCGCGCGGAGCCTTCCGCGGGTGTCGGCGGTTTCGGGGAGCAGGGCTCATTGGGGGGACCGGGAGGGCGTGCTCGAGGGTGCAGATTCCGGGGATCACCCCGGTTGTGGGAATGAGCTCTCCAGCGTGGCTGAACCCCCGAGCTGCCTTTCTTTAAAGGAACTGCCCCCCTTAAGTATCCTACTCTTGGGCACGTTTCAGGGCTTTCAGACCCCCGCGGGTCGTGTCCCCTGTAGAGAGCGGAGACGCGCGACTTCCTGAGTCCAGTACGCGCTAGCTTTTGCGTTGATGTTAACTGGTGGTCGGAGGCTTTCGAGCCCCCCACTTCTCCAGTGTGGAAGAAGGGGCTGCTTTTGGCTTAGGAAAGGTGGCAGGGAACCTCCTCCGTGGAACAAAGAGTCGGCGGCTGGAAAGCCCAGCCTCAGACAGTTGGCCACCTGTTGTTTCTCGCGGGGGGGGGGGGGGGGCGTTTCTCACTGGCTGGCGAAAAGTGCTTTTGATTTTGAGCCAGGCTTGATTGCGCCCTCCCCTCCTCTTCAGTATCCCCTGGCGCCTGCAGTTCCCCGTGAAAGGAAATCTGGACACCTGCCGTGTGCCAAATGCCAGCCGGGGGTGTGCGGCCAATCCCCGGTCCCCGTCCTACCCGCGCTTGCGAGCCTGGGTGTGAGGGTGCGTGGTTTGCACAGCCGCTGCCCACTTCGGTCCCCTATGGTTCTTTGCTGTCCCTGTTTTGGTTGCTAAAGTGAGCAGGGAAGGGATGGCTTGTGTTTAAAAGGGTGGGGACTGCTTCAGGTTTTGACATCCGAAAACAGCAAGGGCAGAGTTCCCCAAATGTGTACCCTGTAATTTCAGGTATTGAAACAGTGGGGCTACAAACAGTGTCTCTTAGGGACACGTGTGCATTCCCCTTTGCTGCCCCCCTCTCCCATTTCATCCCCTTCCTGGATCTTTAGAAAGCCCAAATCAGCTCAGTAAGGAGGCCTCAGGCCAGGATCCACCAGCGTGCGCTAATTCCAAGCACGCGTGTGCTCCCATCTTCCGTTTAGACCTAAAGGCTGCCGAAGTTCTGTGTCTACCTCTGTAGTACTTGGTTAATTTAACAAATGCCTGGGCAGCACCTGCTGGGCTTCAGGCACTGCCTGGGTCCTGGCCATGCAGCTAGGAGTGAGGCCCAGGCCCTCCCCTAGTGGCGACAGCCAGGAAACCGGGCTTTTACCCGTAGGCACAGAGGTGCGGGGAATCAGAGGGCAGATAACCAGGTGCCTGATCGAGACTGGGGAGATCCAGGAGGGCCTCTCCGAGAAGGCAACAGTGGGGCGGGGAGGCCCTGGGGAGACGAAGAGCTGGCTGCAGCTCAGGAGCTGACCCAAAGCCAGCTTGACCAGTGTCCTGAGGCTGTCCCCACCTGCCTAGTAGCGTCTCAGTTCCTCAGCCTTAGTGGGACTCCACTAAGGCCCCAGCCCCAAGCATGGCGGGGTCTGGCAGTGGGCTGGAGAGATGCGATTTCAGGTTTTCCGCTGCGGTGGGGGTGAAGCCGGACTCAGCCCAGAGCTGCCACCTGCAGGTCTGGCTCCCTGTCTGCATACTCCAGGGCAGCCTGGGAAAGCTCAGGCTGCAGCACTCGGTTTTTTCTCTGTGTGGTTTTATTATATCTTTTTTTCATTCAATAAAATATTAGAGATATATTGGTGTCAATGCAGATCCACATAACCTTTTTAAAAAGTTGACACGTAGGGCTGGCTAGTTAGCTCTGTTGGTAAGTGTGGTGCTGATAACACCACGGTCCAGGGTTTGATCCAGCCAGCCACCAACCCCCCCTCAAAAAAAAAGTTGAGATGTAATTCACATTTCATAAAAGTTCTTTTAAAGTGTACAGTTCAGTGATTTTTTGAGTACATTCACAAGCTGCAACCCTCACCTCTAATTCCAGAACTTTCTCATCACCCCAAAGAGAAACCCCCTCCCCATTAGCGGTCATTCTACATTTCCTCCTTCCCCAGCCCCTGGCAACCAGTGATTCACCTTCTGTCTTCCATTTATTATTTTTTAACAACTTTATTGAAATATGGTTCACATACCATACAATTTGTTTAAAATGTGCAAGTTGGCTGGCTAGTAAACTCAGTTGGTTAGAGCATGGTACTGATAACACCAAGGTGTCCAGGGTTTGGTCCGTACCAGCCAGCTGCCAAATATAAATAAGTGTACAAGTCCGTGGGTTTTTAGCATATCTACATATTCACAGATATGTGCAGCAATCACCAGACTTAATTTTTATTACCCCAGAAAGAAACCCCGGACCCTTTTAACTACCACTGCCCTATGCTCCCACCCCCCACCTCCCAGCCCTAAGCAATCCCATTTCCATGTTCTATGTCTTTACTTTGTCTCTGTCTATCCTTCTCTGTCCTCATTGTAAAAGGCAGAACGGCCAAGGGTGGAGGCAGAGAACGGTTGGCAAGTGTTTTGTGGGGTCCCTCCTTTGTGGCTACATTTGAAGCCTGAGTCCCGGCCTTTGGTCTCTTTCCGTTGCCCTGGGCATGTGGGCTCGGTCTTAACGTGAGCCAGGCCAGAGCGTGATTAGAAAAGTAAAGCGACCAGAGCAGTCCTCAGTGGCTCCAGAACCCCAGGCCGTGTGGGTTCTCTGCAGTGTCCTGGTGGAGTGCCCTGGCCCAACCCTGCCCTCGTGGACCACCGACTTTGCTCGGGAGACAGTTTTCGTTCGTCAGGTAGATGGGTAGGCGTGGCATTGCTGGGTCATAGGGAGCTCTCCGTCACCCCTTTGAGAAGCTGCCAGACTGCCTTCCCAGCTGTGGGGCTGTTAAGCCGCGTGCTAGTAGGAGTGCGTGGTGTGGGCTCCGCCGCCACCCTATGGACGTTGTCCTCATTTCGGGTAAGTTGCTGCGCTCATCGGCGCGGCGACCCGAGAGCAGAGCCTCGGCCCAGGGCTGTACCTGCACCTGCCGCCAGCTGCCCCGCCAGGGCCCCCGGTCACGCTGGACGTCGCGGCCCTGGTGCCCCGGCCGCAAGAAGGCGGCGGGCCGCAAGCACCTGCTCCCTCCCCGGGGCTCCCACCTCGAGCGCGAGGCGCCGCGCCCACGGAAGGTTCTGAAAGCGTGACCCCGCCTCTGCCCGCAGCCCGAGCGGGAAGAAGTTCCGCAGCAAGCCGCAGCTGGCGCGCTACCTGGGCGGCTCCATGGACTTGAGCACCTTCGACTTCCGCACGGGCAAGATGCTGCTGAGCAAGATGAACAAGAGCCGCCAGCGCGTGCGCTACGACTCCTCCAACCAGGTCAAGGTGAGTGGCGTCAGCGCGCGGGGGCGTTACGTCACACGGACGGGTGGGCGTGACGTCATACGGGCGGCTGGGGCGGGCGGCCGTGACGTCAGTGTGCGCGCCGGCGGCCGTGACATCATGCGGGCGACGCGCTCCTGGAGCCCGCGCTTTCGAAGAGGCGCATGGCGAGGTCGCGGCCCGTGAGGCCCCTGGAGC